TAACCCACCCGTGTATTCTGGCTGTAACTCTGTCACTGAGGAGTTGGTCTTGCGCCGTAGAACAGTCTGATAAAGAAACTTGAACCCCCAAAAACCTTTCGGAATTTTCCGTGGGGATGATTCGCAGTCCCCTATCTACTTTGAGCACATACTGCGGGTGTAGAAAATATACTGACTTATTCCAGTTGATTGATGCCTCCGACAGCTGGCAATACTTATCTAAAACTGATCTTAATTCTTGCAGAGAGGTAATGGAGTTTTCGCAGGCGACCGTTAAGTCGTCTGCTAGGGCGCCCCCCTTCCAATGCAATGACGGGCTGAGATGAAGCCCTCTAATATTTATGTCACTTCTAATATTGTTCATCAAGACTTCAAGCTGTAACACAAAGAGTAAAGGTGCCAAAGGGCATCCTTGTCTCAAGGAGCGCGTCAGAGGAAATTCATCGGACTGTTGGCCATTGACCATGACCATAGATCTAGAGTTGGCATACATGGCATGGACTAACTTCAAAAAGTCTGTGCCAAAGCCCATGCAAACAAGAGTGGTGGAAACAAAGGCCCACCCCACTTTGTCATAGGCTTTTTCCATGTCGAGTAGTAAGACTGCTAATTCCCTGCGTTCTGAACTTATAATTTCCAATGCTTGAACAGTGGACATTATGTTCTCAAAAATCGAACGGCCTCGGATAAAGGCTCCTTGTTCCCAGCCTACTAAAGAGGGAAGCTCAGCAGCTAGTCTAATAGCAAGTGCTTTAGCTAAAATCTTATAAGTAACATTTAGAACAGAAATAGGACGATAGTTGCGGACCTCCCTTCTGTCTCCTTTTTTGTAGAGAAGGGATATCACCCCTTTGACCAAATTCGGAGGGAGAGATGCTGTAGCCTAGGCCCTATTATATATCTGACATAAAAACGGGTCAAAGCCAGACCAACATGCAAGGAACAGTTCAACCGGCATACCATCAATCCCCGGCATTTTCCTAGGGCCATCTGCTTGACTGCTCTGTGCAGTTCTACGACTGTAAAGGGAGCTTCCAAGTCTGTTTTAACATTGGATGATATACACACATTAGTTCTGTCCCAGAAATCAGAGTCTTCAGACAGATTAGAGTAAACATGGTCAAAGGGTCTTCTCGTGGAAACAATATCTCGAAAGTATTCAAGGGCAAAGGCGCACATGTCTACTGTCTCCGAGGCTATCGTTGCCTGAATCTCAAAGGGGTGAATAAGTTCCCTAATCAGGGGTTTGGTTTGCTTTCGGATTAAAGAACGAAAGGTAAGTTTTGTCATTCTATCATAACCCACTATGCCCCTCAGAGAGAGTCATTCCAGCCATTCAGACTGTTTTTGCAGCTCCAAAGATTCCAGTTGGCAGAGAGTCTTTTTTCTCTTTTCAGACCAGTAGTAGTCAGCAAAGGGATCTTGTTCCATTTGTGCCTCTGCTAACTGTACTGCCCTTTGGAGCTGCTGCTCCTTCCACTGTCTGTTAGCTGCCTTCATACGAGGGTCTTGGGCCATACCACGTATAACCATGATCCTCAGGGTGCATCACTCTGTATGCATCCACTAATGATTGAGAATCCAACAAAGAAAGGAGCAATGTACTGTCATGCTTCAAGGGGGAGGGGGTTGGTGAGTCCAAACCAGGATTCAGAGTGGTATTCCAATCCCCTAGCACTGCCAGGTTCTCTACTTCTGGTAGACATCCTGGCAGATTGGCCAGGAATTTTGTTCTCTCTGAATAAATAGTGGGGGCATAGACTGTCATTACCGCCCATTCTTCAGAGCCAATTTCCAAAATACCCAGGCCCAACGCCCACCTGGGTCTGCATACTGATCTATTATGTCACATTCGAGGTCCTTATGGATTAACAACGCCACTCCCCCTTTCGTCCCATCTGCAGGAGCCCATATCTGAGGCCCTGGCCACCAATCTTGGATCTCTAGGATTTTACCTGAGTCCAGTTTGGTTTCCTGAAGGCCTATGATCTGAGCATTCATAGAGTGGAACCGGGATAGTAACCTCGACCGTTTATTTTTATCATTAGTATCCCCTAAACCTTTGACATTCCAAGTTAGAAGTCTGATCTTATTGGGCAGAAACATTGGATAGGTTCAATGTCCCAGGATTTTGGATTTGGGACTCGTTGAAAGGAATACAGCCTCTGTCCATGGTGCTCGGCACATTGCCTGGTTGTCCCAGGGGGAGCCCCCCCTATGAAACATGGCCAAAAAACACCTCAGAGGACAGTAGTGCTGAAGCCTCTATTCTCTCTAGCCAGATCGTTATCTCTGTAGCAGAGAGATTCGTGTAAAGTCAGATTGAAGAGAGCGAGTCGCTTCTGTGTTGCACTACGTCGTGTAGGGGAATCTAGTATATCTGCGTTGAACACCAATTTTCGAAAGAGGCCGATATTTCGTGAATAGACATGAAAGAGATATGCAACAAGACTTTCCTTTCATCTGGGAGGGTAGCCACGTGTCTGCCCATTTTGGGTTCGGGAAGAACTGCACACGAACCCAGGTAGTAAAGGACTTGCTCGTTAACTAACTTAACCATCTGATCGACTGGTGGCGGCCCTGTAACTTCTATCGAAGGGAGGGCCAGCGACTCATCTGTTGCTCGTTTAGTTAGGAGCATCGTCCCCTGAGTAGAATTAGAACAGATTAATGAAATCAACAGTTCTTCAATTTTTCCTTTTAATCTGTCTCTTTTACTCAGCGTTGCCATTGGGACTGCTTGCGCCAGAGACTTCTTGGCTGCTCTCGTGTTATGACCTCGCTTCTTCGAGGCTGGTCTATCGGGCAGGACCGAACCTGATGGTTCCCCAAGATATTGTTCCTGAACCGTCGGAACGGAGATATTATCATTACTACGGGAACGTTTGCTCGGGGTACACATCACCAGAGCTTCTGAGTCCTTCCGAGGATCAAAGAGAATAGCCCCTTCTTCAAAGAGACCAGCCACAGCAAAGTCAAGGATCTCGACATCTGGGTCCGACTGATTATCATCCTTCCTTTGTTCCTCTTCGGGGCACCCCATGTACTCGACATCCTTCAGTTCTTGGACCCGAATACAGTCCTTCTCCTCCGAATCCGAAGAATCGTAGTCAGAACAGTGTTCCAGGTCCTTGTCATCCCTAGGGGAGTGAACAACTTTCGAGAAGTCAGCATCTGTTTTCGAATTGTTGTGCTCCAGTTGTTTCTTCCTCGCTTCCTTCCCCACAAACACATAGTGCGAGGAGGGAGAAGATGGCGGAAGACCCAGTTGGAGCTTGCCCTCCGAGCAGGGGGCGACACCATTTTCGGGGTGAAAAAGTTTCCCCTTACTCGGGGGATCCGAGTTCTGTCCCTGAGGGACCAGACCTTCGAAGGGGTTCAGAATCACGATAGTTGAACCCAAATCTTCTTTCGGGTTGGTTCCTTTAGAGATAATCATATCACCTTCATCAGCGGGGACATCCCCATTGTCGGGGTGAAAAAGTTTCCCCTTACTCGGGGGGTCCGAGTTCTGTCCCTGCGGGACCAGACCTTCGACAGGGTTCAGAATCACGAAAGTTGAACCCAGATCTTCTTTCGGGCTGGTTCCTTTAGAGATAATCATAGCGCCTTCATCAGAGGGGACATCCCCATTTTCGGGGGGAAAAAGTTTCCCCTTAATCTAGGGTTCCGAGTTCTGTCCCTGAGGGACCAGACCTTCGA